CAGAAAGAAATCTGTTGTGGTATTTCGAGAGTGACAGGGGCAGGACCAGGGCTGTGTGCTGGCCAGAAATGGAACCAAAAATCACAGAATTCCTTGTTCCAGCTGGAAATAGAAATGGAATGGTGAGAGGTGATTTAGCACAAGTGACTCACTTTACAGATAAGAAAGAAACTGTAGAGGTTCAGAGCGGTGAAGGGACCAGTCCAGGATGTCCAAGACATCTAATTAGTTATTATCAAACCTGAAGCTAGACCCGCTATTGCCCAAATTCTAAGTCCAGAGCTATTTTTACCACCCCACAGCTGGCCTCTAAAGTAGATAGTGGGGAGGATTACTGTGGACAGGATCAGTGTTCAGTACCTGTGGAGTCTTTTTCCTGCCACCTCTGAGTGCCATCCTGATGTAGTCCAGCCTTTTTCTCTCCAGGTGGTTATCTTCTAGGTAAACCCACTTAGGAAGTTAATTGATAACTAAAGTTCTCCCACAATATGATTTAAAGTGTGTCCACCCCTCTCTAAGTGATATTTACATTTCAATAGCAGGTGCTTAAAGACCGAAAAGCCTGCAAGATTTAAAGGGCTGTTTTCTTAAAAAGGTGCAATCCACAGGTTGGCTAGTTTGAACTGGGACTCCTCGCTAAATCCTTTCATCTATTAGCCTCTTATTCTTGGCAACTTTGACACCCAGTCAACCAATATTCATTAGCACCTACGAAGCACCAGACATTGCTTGGAAAGATCCTGGTCCACAGTTTAGCTGTAGATTCGGGGTTATAAGGATGAGGACAGAGGAAAGAACTGAGTATCATGGGAACACATATCCCAGACTAGGAAGGGGCGATGTCCCTGGAAAGGTACCTGGAAGCGAATGGTCTGAATCTTGAGAGACAAGCATTAACCAGACAGAAGTGGGCGGGTAGAAGTGGGGCAGGGCATTTCTTGAGCAAAGGCCCAGAAGCTGCAGTCCCAGGCACAGGTTAATGGACACCAGTTGAGGGTGGAGAGAGCTGCTTCCAGTTGAATCCTTGCAGGAGAAGCAGAGGCCCCATTTGTGCCCTCAGTTCTATCAGGAATATGCTGGGTGCTCCTTCCTGAGACCATGGCCATGGTGACAGCCTGGTATTGGTATGCTTGATGCAGTCTCACTCCTAGTATGGGGGGCAGGTCAGAAATCCCCACATCCCCATTCCCAGGTGGTCGCAGGTGCATCACCAACTGGGGGCCTATGAAGATAGGTACTAAAAAAAAAAGTGTTTAACACTTTTTTAAAAATAATTACCATCATTAGAATTTAGGGAAATGCCAAATAAAAGTCTGCATTTCAGGTGTCTCCTGGAAAAAATCACAATATCTGGTATCACTGGTCTCCAAGGATGACCAGTGATACCAGAAAGAGTAGAGGTAAGGAGTGGGGCACTCTTCCGGAGCCTTGAGCTTGCTCTCCAAGTTCAGCACAGCCTCTCTCCAGCCATCCTCACTCATTGGTTCCCTGGCCCCACCCTCACTCCCCTGGTGCCCAGGAAACTTTAAATGGCTCCTCCCTGCTGGTTGTGGTAAATTAAGTAACCCTTGCTCCAACCCACCCTGCTACATTACTCTTATCTGATGTGCTCTGGGCAGCCTGTCAGGTTTACTGGACAAGGATTGAATTAAGGCCCACCCTTGTTTATGGGATGGGGGGTGGGGAGTGGTAGAGCCAGTCCTCAGCTGGGAACAAAATGACTTGGAGTTGGTGGGCCCAGAGAACCAGGCTTCTATCAAAGCAGAGGAAAGGATTATCTACACATCTGGGGTACACTCATTTGCATAAGATTATTATCCAGGGCCCTGGTGGCCTCTTAGATGGAGCGCAAATGTTTTTCTTGCCAGCTTTGCATGGAGAGAAAGCCAGAACTCTCCAGAGCTCATCAGGCTTGCCCTTCTCAGCCTCCTCATTTCTCTCTCTTCTGGGAAGGGAGAGCATGTGGGTGTGATTCCACGGGTGGGCAGAATGGAGGTAAGTGAAGTTGTTATTGGAAAATCTCTTTCCTGCCCACTTTGTGTGTGAATGAAAATGTAGCCCAGTTTAATATTAATCCACAAGCAGACCATGGAGCCAGCATGTCAAAGCTGCCCTGTGGCCAACAGGATCAGGTGTCTGGCAAGGACATCTGTACGTTTCAGCAAGAATGACACAGGTCAGACTTGAGTTCATTCATTCAGCAGATTCTTGTAGTGCCTATCAGGGGCTACATACGACACTAGGAAGGACTTTAGGACTGTGAAGATTTTTAAACAAAGGATTGAAAATTATCTTTTTATGAGAGAGGCCACAGGCTTGCTTGGATGGTTTTAACTGTCACCATTCTTGGAGGCACTAGTAGGAACTATTACTTTAATAACAGTTTTCTCCCACTTATCAAAATGTGAGTGTCGTTATTCATCTCAGTACCAGTTTGGAGCCTTTGAAGAGATGAGGCTAACTTCAACTTAAAACGACAATTCTCAACTATTGAGTACTTAACTGTGGAAAGCACTACTCTAAGTTTATGGATCTCATTTAATCCTCATAACAACATTGTGAGGTGGATTCTATTCTCAATCCCCTTTTACAAAGGGGGAATAGGGGCCTGGTCAGTGAAGGAGCTTGGCCCAAGTTGCACAACCAGTAGGCAGGTGGCAGAGCTGATGAGACCCCCACCTCCCCTTCCCAGGAGGCCTGACACCAGAATCTGAGCACCTAAGCTCCTTGCAGCTGCCTCACTATGCTTGGAAACCGAAACCTTATCAGGCAGGAGTGGGATGCAAACAAGAGAAAAATATTACTTATTGTACTTCCCAGTCCAAAAAACCTTTCAGTTCAACTAATTGAAAATGATGATAATCATTGTGTTAATTTGCCCTCCTGTGATTGCCAGGATAATAGAGATGACTTAGAACCAAAAGGTGAAGAAAGGAACAGAAGTCATTTAATCCAACCCCCTAATTTCTGACACAGGAAAATTGAGGGGTTTGTCCAAACTCACACAGCTAGTTAGGAAGAAGAATCCGGACCACCACTCATATATTCTCCCTCCCAGCCCAGAACTCCCACACTTTGTTGGGCTGGGGTGCTAGCACTGGAAGCCAGGAGGCCTAACTTTTCTTACCAAAGGTTGCTAAAGGATCAGGTGTCAGACTAACAGAAGTGGGTTTCTTCCTCTTGGGGTTTGTTCGTTGCAGCATCGAGGACTCCCCCACCCAAATCTCCTTATCAGGAGCCAGGATGGGCTCTTAATCTACAGCTGCCAGGGCCTTGTCTACACTCTCCAGGAGGTACATTATCATCCAGAAACAGCTGACTGAGCACAGGTCTCCCAGGCTGGCGCTGTTTACCAAGTGGGGAGCTGGGAGCAGAATGGCTGACCAATTCTCAGTCCCTGCACATATAAAGCCACCACCTGCAATTCTGTAAGCAGTTCCTGTCCACTGCCCCTGTACTGCAGCTGGCCAAGGGGCGTGCTCCACCCCTGCTGAACTTGGTCAGATATAAAGCAAGGAACACATTGCTTGATCACAGAACCCTCCCATGTGAATTGAGGACTATTAAGGTTGCCAAGAGCCAAGAGCACCCCCAAGAAGAATCTGCCATTCCACAGTTTCCCTGGCTTGGAGATAGAGGTGCGTGATGATGTCCTCTTAGCCTCTACGCAACCTTCCCTGAACTTCAGGCTTTCTACTAAACAGTGAAATATCCTTCATGGGTGCGGCCAACCTATTAGGAAATAAGAGGATAGATGCCGACTTTGTAACAAGTAAGAGAAGAGTACTCTTGGATGGGCAGAAATTGAACCTTAACCCGGGTCCTTACATCCAAAAAAGCGGGTCCTTAAATCTTGAGTGCCTAGGACATTTGTATGAGAAGCTACAAATGAAAATGGGACCATTCCTTTAAATAACAACTCCTTGACACAAGTGGATCGACATAACCCAGTTCTATTTATAATGCAGATGGGCTGGCTTCTGCTACCCCTACATCCTAGCTCACCTACCATCCCAGCATATCAGAGACTCCAGGGCTGGCTTTCTATCTGGCACATCTAGGTCAAACTGCATGTTTATTGGTAAGGGTGATGGGGGTATGAAGTGCATGTGCGTGTGTGCCTGTAGGGGGGGTGGGGAGGGTACCATTGTTCATAGTCAACATGTTTAAAATTTAAAGACAGCCCATCCATGGCCAAGAAAAAAAACTGTACTTGTTCCTCAGTGGAAACTTGAGCCAGTAAGGGGGGTGGGGGTGGGAAGACTTTCAAAACCTTATGGAAAGATCCCAAAAGTCAGGGATGATAGACTTATTTCCTTGCATAGGAAATAAGCCAAACAGTGTTGAAAATTGGTAACAAACCTTTGGCTCAGTGTTTGCTGTGGCAAGTAGCTGCTCTTTAGCTAACTGGTGGCACTGGCCTGCAGTCACTTGTTCAGCCCCAGTGCACAGATCCTGGGGCCCAACTGTTCTTGTTCAGTAAGACAAGAATGCAGACAGCAAAATGGCAGTCTCAGAAAGGACGCGAGCGCCTGTACCAGGAATTGCTAATAATTCTGCCCCAACCTGGGAAGGGAACAGTGTCCCCTGTTCACACTAGTCTGTGAGAGGCTATGTATCTTAATCATCTTTAATATTTTCAGTCCCCAGCACTTACTGACGATACATGCTTGCTGAGTAAAAGACTGTGTGAACACAACTAAGGCCTCGCAAGAAGAGGAGGCATAGGATCGTCTATGCATAGACTAAGGGGTGTCCAGCAGCAAGAACCCTGTCCCAGCTAGCATTTTCACAGGGAACTGTTAGAATATGCATTGAAGGAAGGAAATAAGGGGCTACTTCCTATGGAAGAGGGGTCACACCACACAACTAGATTTTTCTTTTATTCTAGCCACATACTATATAGATCTTCTGAGTGCAACTGAAGACACAAAGATAGGATTTGGATCTGAAGATATGCAAATAAGTGATGTGGGACTTTCACCTCTGCACAGCACGGCTTCATCTGCTACATTTTTATTAAAGTAACAAAAAAGGTGTACATTTGTCCATAAAGCTGTATATTCTTCCATATAAAAACACTATGATACAATTAGTAACCTTTGTCTTTTCTGTCAGAATATCTTAGAAATGCACTATTATTTATTTTTACCTAATAAGAGAGACAGGCCTGCTCAACAGTCCAGCTCTGGGCATTTTGTTGTTTTTAAAGTGAACATCAAAAAGAAGAGAGAAAAGATTAAGCATGAGACCATGAGGCTGCTTCTAAAAAGGTAGGGACCTGTTTACAGACAAAAACGCTACAATGCAGTCTGCAATGATTCACAGCTTTGTTTCAATCCACATGCCAGGAAATAAGCTCTTGGGTCTGCAGACCCCAAGCTGCCTTTAAAGCAATAGACTGGAAACAGGGTCTGGGAGAACAGCTTGGATCTAGAGAGCTGAAAAGGAGGCAGAACTGGCAGGAAAGGGTTGGGAGACTGTTTGGTAAATAGCACCTCTGAGTAAGAATTGAGTAGTTAAACCCAGTAAAGCGGACTGCAGTGGGGAGGGGAACTTCAGGGTCAGGGAGAAAGGTTCCTTTTTAAGGGGCAATAGCAGGGTAGCCAGGTTGACTAGATGTTCTAGCTATGTCCTTTTCAGGGTGATTCATGTTCAGGAAACTCGAGGCCTTCTGAGGACCCCTCACTAATTTCACTGAGAAACCGAAGGATGGGGATTTCCTCCCAGTGTAGTTTTCCATTTTTCTCCAACCCAGAACAGTAAATATTGCACAAGTCTACAGACAAATTTGGATTGTACTGAGAGAGGCAGCAACCTCTCCCAGAAGTGCTCTGAGCACAGGACGGGAGTCAATGCCCAACGTTGAGTTTTTAGTGTCAGCCCTACAAGAATACCAAGTAGTCCTGCAGAACTTGGGGCTTTCTCCCGTTTGTCCAAGGGATACCTGCAAGGCTGACCAGCCAGCCACAGTCCCGAGGACAGTGGGAGAGATGGCTCCCTCAGCCCACCAGAGCACCAGGAGGTTCTGAGAGCCAGTTCTCCTCCACACCCTTCTGGGACTAGGAGGCCATATTGCACAGTGATTGAGAACTCTTGTCCTAGAAAATTGGGTAGCTCCATGATACAACCAGAAGGGAGAGGAGTGGGGAGAGGTAGAGAGGAGTGTTGTGCTTTTTAAAAAGGCAGTAATAAAGGACCAGGAGTTCCCTGTAGCTTTTGAGCCACTTCTCAAAGAGATAATGGCAGCAGCATCAGGACTTGCATGTGGTTCCAAAAAGGGTTTTGGCCAAAAACACATCCCCAGTGGATACTCTTTGGGTCCTCAAATTCCATTGCAAATCACCCCCAAGTTTTTCACCACACATACTCACATAGAGAGCAGCACATTGCAAGGCAAAGGTTTTGTGCAGAGAACCCTTCCATCCCAACCCCAGTGACCTCCAACCCCTGCCTTATTCTCGACCCCCACAAAACAAAAAGCTTTAGATTCCTGGCTGGGAAGCAACATCTACAGGCCCCTGAGGATAGGATTAGAAACAAGTCATGATTTCAAGAAAAGCTGCTTAGGACAGAAGGAATCATTTTCTGCCCAGGACCTCATCAGAAAAATAAAAGTGAGGATTAGGCAACATGAGTTAAGTCCAGGCTTGAATGCCCCTGAGTAAGAGAGGGGCCAGGGACTTAGGTGTCCTGGTTGGGAGAGTGAGAGGTTTAAACTCAGCCTCTCTCCTTCCCTCAGGGCAGATCCTGACCTCTCTCATTCACAGTTGCTAACCTTGCTTGCTCCCTCTCACATCTTCCTGGTGCTGGCCAAGCTTCTCCCACGTCACCGTGGTCGGGCCCACCCCTCACCGCTCCCCCTTCCCATAGACAGACACGGGTTCCCAGATTCAAGCACACAACAGTTCTCTGCAAAGGCACCTGGGAAGGCTGCTTCCAAGCAGCACCCTTTAAGGATTTTTTTCTTAAAAAAATCTTTAGGTTTTCTCTCCCCTTTTCTTAAAAAAATAATATATATAAATAGCTCTTCATTTAAAATACAGTTCCCCAGGTTGAGGTATGCAGTTGCCTGTTGTCATGGCAGGATGTGTACAGCAGAATGCTGGGTAGGGGCGGCAGGAGAGCTAGCTGGAGACGGCCATCACGTAGTTCTTGGAGGGGCTGCTGCTGCCCAGCATCATTTGGTTCTTGCAGGTGAGGAGCCCATAGGATGCAACCAGCGGGGTCTCCTCGTACAGGACGCAGATGGAGCCATCCTCCCCAATGCGGTAGGACACCTCGTAGGGGTCCACCCACAGGGTGAGCTCTCGGGGCAGCAGCCGGTGCAGCTGGGGCGGGCTGAGTCCGATCTGGCTGGCTGCCCTGCCGATGATGGGGTCCATTCTGTGGTTAATGCGGAGACAGCGGTAGCCTGAGCCCTTGGCCGGCTTCTCAGGAAACCAGTGGTGTTGGTAGTGCTCTGTGGACACAGAACAGGGGAGGTACCCTGGTTAGAGCAGCTGGGTCAGGGCCACTATTACCACAAGCAGGATGAAGGGATAAAAGAGAGGAAGGGGCCCAGTGACTTGAAGCAACAAGGTGCTTTGTCATGACTTCCAGGACCTTCCTGAGACCTCCCTCTGCTACTATAGCAGAGAAATTTTAGGAGATCTGGAAAGGCTCCCCATCCCAGGACAGGGGTGTGTGTGTGTGTATCGGGAGGGGGTCCCATAGTTCTGGGGCAACCCCTAGTAGCCAGTGTACTTTTGGCACATTCGCTGTTTCAGGAGGAGGGGTGTGAGCTGCTGGCATGTTCAGGCAGGGCCTCTGGAGGCCTACAGCTGAAGTGTTAAGGCCAGGAAGGTGATCATCATGGTCAGAACCACAGCAAGTTACTGCACCTCCCACCCTGGGCCCCAGGGGCTCCCTCTGCCTCCTTCAAAAGTCAGAGACCCTTAGGGAGGCTGGCTAAGGAGTCGAAAAGAAGAGTTGTTTTGATGAAACACATGCTGTTCCTCAGAAGGCAGCAGAACCTGTGTGGGCACATTTGGAGATGGCTGTCCCTGCCCAACACTGCCGGCCAAAGGGCTAGAAACAGCTGAGAGACAGGTCTCTCCCTAGCCAGCCTGCTTATCACTCACCACCTCCCTGGCTCGCGCCGCCCCCGCCCCCCAACACACACTCCCTCAGAGCAGTCACCGTCTACAAGGCTCTCTCGGCACCGTGATAGGTGGCAGATGGCTAAGGGGACCAAAGACTACAAAGGGGACCCGGATTCCAACTTGGAGCGAGTCAACAACCCGCCCAGGAACAGCGCCGCGCGCACTGCTGGAAGAACCTGGGCTGGGACTCCAGAATTGTTGAGAAGGCTCCATCAAGTGCGCCTTCTTCTCCCAAAGGGCTCCTCTCGCCGGCCGGGGTTTACCGCCTGCAGAGTCCTCGTGGGTCTCAGAGTCCAGTGAAGGAGATGAGGCTACACTCAGACCCGCAGGTACCCCCTCTTCCGGGGCATAAGCCGGGGAGTCGAAATCGCACTCCAGGACAAAGATCTACGCCCGCTGCGCCCCACCTGAACGCAGGGCTGGGAAAGGAGACGTGACCCAAAGTCATGGGGGCCTGCGGTCCGCCCCCCCGTGCCGGAGGGAAACCGAGTCCCAGAGCTGCTCGCGTGGGAAGCCCTGTCCCAGAAGGAGAGGAAGGACACTCCAGGCAGGGAAGGGAAACGAGCCTCAGTGGCGGGGTGCGACAGGTCGGGGACCCTCGGCGTGGGCTCACCTGTTAGTGCCTCCTGGAGAGCCCCGCTGAACACCTTCAGCCTCTGCTCGCTCACGCAGCCCCGGGTCCTTAGGAGGCTGGAGAGGAAACCCACAGCGGCGGCGATCTCCGGGAGCATGTCTGTCCTCTTCCCGGTCCAACGGGCCTGGTTCATAGTATTTGCGGCTCGTGGGGCGGCAGCGGGGAGCAGCCAGCCGTCTCCGGGTTACACGCAGCTCCGCACGATGCGATCGGGCCGCAACTTGGGCTCTGCCGGGAGCGCACCCGGGATGTGCCTTTCATACGGCGAGGAGAGGCGGGGGAG